GCATAACTCAAGAATAGCCCCAGTAGCCGAAATCCAAGGTTCACCCAAAATAAGGTCGAACACGGGACTAAATTCAACGACAGCGAGCCTTATAGCCCTGTATACGAACAGGCACTTCAGCAAAGCCTACAAATGAAACTGGCTGTCTGTTACCCACGATGATCTTGGGTGCTGCAGTCGAACCGTCAGGCGGCTTAACCACCAAACCCACGCGCCGTGCAAATCCTGCGCTGAGTAAATGAGCGGCTTGACTGCCCGAATCGAGCAAGATGGTCGCCTCCTGTTGGCAAACAGAACCTGCAAACTGCATAGCCAAACTGGGAGACACCGAAAAGGGGACGGTTGTTGCAACGCAAACAGCCGACTCGGAAGGAGACTCGACAGGAGCATCATACCAGAACTCCATCGGCAAGGAAACTCCCTGCACACGAGACATTTTACCTTTTCCCGACGACACGGAAAACAGGTGATACCCCGCGTGGTACTCATGAAGCTTTTTCATGCCTGCAAGCAGAGGACGCCAACACGCTGTAACCCACTTAGGAAGCAAAAATCCTCCAGACGTGGTTGATGGCGCAATCGACTTGCAACACAGGTAGTGACGCAGGAAATCTTGAATACACGCCCGAGGCAGATTGTAACACAGCAAAGGCGTAACCCGGGATGCTCAGATTGGCATTTGCGTCGTTACATTGCCCCCCACTTAGCAATGGACGTCCTCGGCCATTATTTCGAGCACAGGAGCCATCCCACCTCGCGCCAGTGCGCTGGTTTATCCATTACACCATGAAATCGCCAATTTGCGACTTGCTGGTTGCCAGAATCGAACCGCCGACCCGAAGTTTATTTCGGAATTCGTGCGGTCCCGTCTCGATACCATTGTAACACAGCAAAGGCGTAACCCGGGATGCTCAGATTGGCATTTGCGTCGTTACACAGATGTATCCAAACATGATGTCCTGCACAGCTATCATGCAAAAAGCTGCGAGAAGGTGAACTATACTTCGGACACAAGGCATTAGACCCATCGTTAGATGCGCATGCATCCCAAGTGAAGTGACGACCAGAAAGCTGCTGCAAGTGCTGAAATTCGTGCTTGCAAATGCAAAGTTCTTGAGGTGGAGGGACATCTGCAACCGGCATCGAACTGTTCGTCTTTGTGTTACAATAGAAAGAAGACTCTGTAACCAGACGTACGTTAAAAGCCGTGTTCAGTTCCGACTGAGAACGATTCACAACGTGATCACTTGCGTTTGACAACTTCACAGGCGCACTCGACATAGTCGCCAAAGACTTGTGTGCTTGCCGCCGAGGCACGCCTGCAGGCGTCGGCTCAACCGACACAGCCACAGATGGTCCAGAAACAACAGGTTCTGCGACACACAAATCACGATTATTCTGCACAGCCAAAGAAGCCATCGCAGACAACACCGAAAACTCTACATCTTGTTCAGTGGGCGTGAGATCAGCTCCGCCATCGGGTGGGTCAGAACCCGGACAAGACAACGAACGTCACGGCTTGGACATGGACGACTTCCGCTCATAACAGAAGAAGTCCATAACAGCGATTGCGCACGCTCGCAATCCGCAAACCCAGATGGCTGATCGAGAGTAGCGGCTGCTGACGCCGGTGCAAGCACCAAGGCCGCCAGCGGTGAAATAACAGCAGTGGCAGCCGGATCGGTAATTGCTCTAGTAATTATTCTAGGAGAAGATATTGGAGACTAAGAACTGTGGCGAAAGCAGGCCGACGATAAAATGCAAAGAAATGGCCGCAAAAGCATAATCCCAGAAAGAAACATTTCACCGTCTCGATGCCAATGTTACGTTAAGGCTTATCACAACCAGTCATGGTGGTGTCGAAAGACACCGGATGCGATACACCAGCGAAGATGTAGCCATCCAGTGTATGACCCGCACTAATGTACGACGTCGCAAAAGGAAGGTCTTGAGAATAGCTACGTGAACCCCGTTGAAGAGAAGCATTTAGAGTTATGTAACTGCTCTTGCACGTTACATTATGTGTTTTATGTGGGGCGTTAAAAATCTGTCATACTCTGATATGGCTATTGGCACATAAATTTTAAGTAGGCAGGTAGTGGTGGGCCACATCTGAGCCAGGGTTGTTATTATTTGTGGATTCGTTGCCTTGCTGTTTCTGAGGCTATGGAGGGTGGCTGGGGCTGGTTGGGGGAGGGGTGTGTGTATGTTTTGCCGCCGTCATTGAAAACGTGCCTGCCCTAATTGTCACGTTCCCATCCACGTGCTGCACGTGCAGCAGGCCTCGGAAGATAGGGCCGACGTCCAGCCGGGAATGGAGGTGAGATGGGAGGAAGGGTCGGGGCTCTTATGTGTTTTATGTGGCGCTTTAAAAACTTGTCATACTCCGATATGGCTATTGGAGTACGGCAGATTTGTTTTATGTAGGCAGGTAGTGGTGGGCCACATCTGTGCCAGGGTTGTTTTTCTTTGTGGATTCGTTACCCGTTGCCCTCTTTCCCTCTTGTTTCTGAGGCTATGGAGGGTGGCTGGGGCTGGTTGGGGGAGAGGGGCATGTATGTTTCGCCGCCGTCATTGAAAACGTGCCTGCCCTAATTGTCATGTTCCCATCCACGTGCTGCACGTGCAGCAGGCCTCGGAAGGTGGGGCCGACGTCCAGCCCGGAATGGAGGTGAGATGGGAAGAAGGGTCGGGGCTCTTATTTGTTTTATGTGGGCCGTTACAAAGCTGTCATATTCCGATATGGCTATTGGAGTACGGCAGATTTGTTTTATGTAGGCAGGTAGTGGTGGGTCACATCTGTGCCAGGGTTGTTTTTCTTTGTGGATTCGTTACCCGTTGCCCTCTTTCCCTCTGTTTCTGAGGCTATGGAGGGTGGCTGGGGCTGGTTGGGGGAGAGGGGCATGTATGTTTCGCCGCCGTCGTTGAAAACGTGCCTGCCCTAATTTCATGTTTTCTCCACTGTGCACGTCCCACGTGCAGTGTTGCACGTGCTGCACGTGCAGCAGGCCTCGGAAGGTGGGGCCGACGTCCAGCCCGGAATGGAGGTGAGATGGGAGGAAGGGTCGGGGCTCTTATGTGTTTTATGTGGGCGGTACAAAGCTGTCGTACTCCGATTATGGCTATCGGAGTATGGCAGATTTGTTTTATGTAGGCAGGTGGAGAGGTCGGGGTGTTTGCCGGCAGTAGAAGGGTCTGTAGGACAGACACACGTATTAATGTGTATAGGGAATGATCAAGAACATATGTGTGCCGCTGCTGCTGATGTGCTGATGTCACTGTAATGTTTGGTAGCTGGTGCGGGAGAAGTAGCGGCAGCAGCAGTGGCGGCGGTGGCGGTGTTATGTCATCCCCAATCACAGTGACATGCAAAGTGGCTGCTTCTTTACGACCAAATTCGAAATTGTATTTGGCAGAGCATTAAAATTGAATGCTTTTATCCATACTGTAAGCCGTACATGTTTCTGAACATCTCCCCAAAGGAACCGTGTCTTTCGGGTCCCCCATGTAACACAAAACCTTCCCTAATGGCTACAATGCCAATGCACATTTCATGGGCTCTCCTGTATAACACTAATACCATTGTTTGGGGGTGTGTGGTGTGGTGGAGGGGAGCCCTCGGGAGGAATAATAAAAATAAACATACTTGACGGAGCCACCCACCATTCAGGTGCACCATATCTGGTAGCAGCTGGCTGTACTGCACCCCATGATGATGGCCTCGCTGTCGATTCGAGTATCCACCCCCCAAACCATCACCTGGTCATAATGATCAGATGAGGTGAGGACCGTCAAAGCACACATACACGCACGCAACTCACAAAAAAAACACAGCACATACATCTCGTCCGCGGGAGAGAGCTCTTAGGCAGTCTTTCCATAGGGCGGCTGGGCAGCAGCCCCTGTGGCCAGTGTCGTCAGGCCCGGTCAGATCCCTGTAACCTTCACACACACACGTAACACACAACACAGACACGTTCCTCACGGGTTCTCTGTTCCTCCTGTTGGCCAAAAAAGAGAAAAAGACAGACGTGCATAGGGTTATGGGCAGGGTGGGGTTAGCGCTGTACACGCAAGGTGGAGAGCACCAGGGGGGTTCGCGAACCTAGCAGGGGGGGGAACTATCGCTAAGCACCCCAACCCGACACATGCACATACCTACACACATACACACATACACACTCGCATACCTACCCCCCTACATACCTACACACATACACACACACGCCGTGTCACTGGATGAACTGGTCAACACCTCCCGCACCGCCCCTGCTGCTCCTTGAACACAAAGCCCTCCTCCCCAGCCCCCCGGAGAGATGAAAGGGCCGCCTGGAATCGTTCCTCGTTGTAGCTGGGGACCTGAAGTGCCATTGGGGGTATTGGGGAGTATTGGGGGCGAAAGGTCAGGGGGGGAGGTCAGGGGGAAATCATATGATGTCGTACATGATGCCAAGTCAAAATAAGGGGGAAACAAATCCGGAGTGTTCAATGGTGAGGTGAGGCACTTTGAGGAGTGGTGTTGTAAGAGCAGTCACTGAAGTGCACGACTCTACAATTCTACGGCTAGTGGCTATGGCTGGCGATCATGGGCCTCCCACCCTCTCCTCCTTTTCCCCCTTCCTCCCGCACCTTTCTTCCCCCCTTTTCTCCTACCCCCCTTCCA